CCCCCCCCCTCCCCCCTCTCACATTATCTGAAAACAGTGCTGGGTTATTTCAGCTAACTTAACCCCAGGATGCCAGATAACAGAGATTTTACTGTGCTTCACCAAATGTCCACAACAAATATTACCATATTTTCTCACATATGACAAACACCTTTTCCATCACATTAGTTCCCCAAAATTGGGATGGGCTCATTAAATGGAGAAACTGATTTTCTGTCAGGGATGGAAGCACACTGCTTTGATTCTTATTCTACAGTGCAGCAGCTGTCGCATTACTGTTCAGGCAGCTGAAGGAGTCAGTTGACTTAATGGCTTATGGTTCTTTCCAAAACCCAGGGAGACAAGTCTTCAGCAGCAGCTAGGGTTTGAACTTTAGTTAAATAGGAAAGGGAGGGTGGGTCATTTGAAGATTAGACTCTATCCTTGCTCCTTTGTGTAGCCATAACTCTAGAAAAAAAATTCTTCATTCTGCCTTTCAAAAACAAGGTGCGTCTTTTATTCAGTGGTGTGTTCTATGCAAGAAAAGTTGGTATTTGGGAAGCATTGAAAGTTGAAGAGTAATCTTAATGTATTTAAAAAGTGTTTCTTACAAAATTGTGCATGTTGGTTAATGAAAGCCAGAGCATTGTTACCTGTCCTGGATCTTTTCCTTACAGCAGGGCATTTCTTGTATAGTGGAGAATAAATCTTTATCTTAGGTTTGAGATATTTTGGGAGCCAAGTTCAGCAGCAGTTTGTTGCTGTTGCTTTGATTTGTGAATAGGTAAATTAAAATAAAATGTGGTGGCGGTTCACTTGGTTAATAGCATCACACGGAATGGAGTAGAAAGGTTGCTTTTATGGAAGCAGAAAGTTGTTAAATCGTTCGAGGGGAAGTCAGAGAGACCTGTAAAGAAGCCTGTGCTGAACAGTTGGGAGGCGTAATAGACAACGGTTCCTTTTTAAACTAAGGGAACATGACCCAAAAGATCTATTCAGGTAGGCCAGTAGCAGCTGTGGGGTAAATGTTTTAAGCCTTGTTTACAAGGATTATTCTCCAATATTTTCCCATTCATAGTTGAGTACGTGTGGAAACCATTTTGGATCTCCTCAAAGGAAAGAAAGTATGTGGAGCTGAGATTTAAAATATTACAGGTTTGGGAAGTGGAAAGAGTACTCAGAAATTGTCTGGTTCCATCTGACTCATTCACCAGTTAAAAGCTCTTTTTTGCTGCAAGATTTTTTTTTTCCTTAGGCTCAACATTTTTGTGGTGCTGATGGTTAAAAATGGCCAACTAATTCTGAAAGGTGAAAAATACTGCATTTTTGATGTCTTGTTCTAAGGCAGCATATAGAATGAGAGAGAAGACTGAATAAAGAGATACTACCTGCATTTTCTTTGTAAAGTAAATTTTAGAATACTCTGCTTTCTGACAGCCCTGTTCATCTGATGTTTTCCAGAGTAGGTGTCTAATGCATGTCTAATCCAACTCTGTTTTATTTATAGGAGAACAGAGTTGTATTTAAAATGGAAGTTGATATAAATGGAGAGTCCAGAACCACTGTATCTACCCTTCCCTTACCTGTTGCAGAGGTGAGTTCTACAGGCAGGGCAGAAGCAGAGAAACCTCGATGTTCCAGTACCCCATGCTCACCAATGCGACGAACTGTTTCAGGTTATCAGATCCTCCATATGGATTCTAACTATTTGGTTGGCTTCACAACTGGGGAGGAGCTCTTGAAATTAGCCCATAAGTGTACAGGAAATGAGGAAAATAAATCAGAATCTGGACCTACCTTGCGCTCCAAACAACTTGATTCAGGACTTCCCCGTTCATCCCGGTTGTACAAAACAAGAAGTAGATACTACCAGCCATATGAGATCCCAGCTGTAAATGGAAGGAGGAGACGACGGATGCCCAGCTCAGGGGATAAATGCACTAAGGCTTTACCATATGAACCCTACAAGGCACTTCATGGTCCTCTGCCTCTTTGTCTTCTGAAAGGTAAGAGGGCTCACTCTAAATCCCTGGACTACCTCAATTTAGACAAAATGAACATCAAGGAACCGGCTGACACAGAAGTGCTACAATACCAGCTCCAGCATCTGACCCTACGAGGGGACCGTATGTTTGCTAGAAACAACACATGAGCTACCATTTGGAAGTTAAAGCCAATTCCTGGTTATTTCTTTGTTGCTGGAAAACTCCACTGTTGTACTGTGTACATGACTGTCCACATCGTAGGTGGTTGTATCAGCTAAGTGTTACTGGAACGTAATTTATTTGAATAAAGTTTTGACGAAAAATGTCTCAAGCATTTGGAGGAAACATTTTTCCAGAGCAAGCAACTTCTGAAGAAAATCTGACTGTAGTTGGTGGGCATTTCTTTGGGGACCCTTTTTAACAAAGAAACAGCTTTTTTGTACAGGTATATCTAATATTTATGGTGATTTGACACTCCAGGATTGGTGAGAATGTCTGGTTGGTTATTACTAAAATTTAACTTGCTACTGGAAATTGCTCTCGGATAAGCACTCAAGTTCTTCTTTTAGTGCTCTGTGTATTTTACAATAAGATATGCATATGATTTGTTATACTATAGAAAAGAATGTGAACCTGGCTGAATTGGACCATGTTATTTAAAACAGTCCAGTTTAAACCTTTTGTAACTGGTTTTTGCACTGGAAAAAGAAGTCTCATTGAAAAAATAAACCTTTGTTCATTTGCTATTTAAAAATTGAACAATTATTTTTTAGTTAACACATGGAACTAGTTGCTTTTTCTTCTTTCCTTCTGTTTTTATAAACTTTATTGAGTAAGCCTTTGAAATATTAGGAAAATGAATCATTCTGAAAGTGATTTTTTTTTTTTTTTTTTTTATTTGGATAGATGTAATTTCATTTTTACGTGTCTTTACAGATAAGCAAGGACCCACTTTAGATTCCAGAATATAGATTAGAATATCTTTATTAGTATGAATGAAATTTTTTATTTTTGTCATGATTTCTAGGATATATATTTAAAAATGGTAAGTGTTAAAACGACAACTTTTAGCACCGCTTTTTTAAATTACAGGTTTATTTGCAGCACTTTTATTGGAAATCCAGATGGCCATCTTAGCTTGAAGGTCAAAAAAATGCTTCTTTACACTGCAGCCTTGAAGCATTGATCTTGGATTATCTAACAGATTATATTAAATGCACTGGTTTGATTTTTTTTTTTTTTTTTCCCCTTTAAGAAATTACATCCAAACATAATCTCAAATGCAGTTTTGACAACTGCAGTCTTAAATGTATTTGGAAAATATTAGCTTACCTTTGTAAAAGCGTTATTGCTCTTTTCTTAAAGGTGCAGTTTCTTACCGAAACAGTGTGCAGCCATGCTTGTTTTGGACAATGCATTCTTTAGAGGTTAAAGATATTAAAATAAGAGCCTTGTCTATGAAATAAAAAAAAAAGATTTGAAGTTGGTCAGTCTTTTCTGGCACAATTCTGATTTTTCTTCAGAATGAATAGAAAGCACTAGTGCAGAGCATGTTGTGGAAAATGAAGAATGTCTTTTATTCTTTCACTTATTCCACAGTTGTAGTTGGCTACAGTAAAGAAGAGCCTGTGGATAGTGTGCATCTTGCTGGTTTGGTTAATTTTTTTTAGGCATAGTAGAAATCTTTACAGCTGATGTATATTTTAAAATAAACTGCACCTCTGTAAACTTACTGTATTGAAGAATGATCTCTAAGGTAAACTCTTCCTATATGGTCTTTACTTTGAGAAACAGAATACTGTCAGATGCCAAAGAGAGAAGGGTTTTACATTTAAGGATTAAACACCCCTATTTATTGATTTACCATATGAAACTGTATTTCTGGCTACAAAATAAAAGGGTGATATAAACACATACTGTTGTGGAGTGCTTTGCTGTGTGGAAGAATGAGAAGAAAAAAATATATGCAACATTTGAAAAAAACACTTAAGTTTTGGGCCCATGTAAAATATTTATAAGGTCTGATTTCTGAACATCCTATGTGCAATTGTAAGTACATGTTTATATATGCCACTACTGCAGTTCTCTAGCAGTGTGGACAGGAAAGTATGTACCTGGCTAAATGCCAGCAGGAAGAATGAAATGAGCACACGCATTTGTTTGTTTTTTATCCTTTTGCTCATAAAAACAACAAATATTGTGCTCACTCATAGTAATGGTGTGTACCAGGTAAGTATGCAATTGCACATGCCTTTGTACCTTCACAAATTGAGTACCAACATTTTGGAAATTGGGCCTCTGTTACGCTCATTCAAGATTTCAAAGGCCTTAAGTAAAAATCTTAAGCCTGTGAACTGAGCTGTTTTTGCTTGTTTTATTCATTGTCTAGGAAAGAGGGCATAGTCTGTTAAACTCCAAACCTCTACTGAAATGCAATCTGAATAATGCTGAATTGTGAAAGTGAGATCCTTACAAAGTATTCTGAATGCAGAACATAAGCAAACATCTTACATATATTTTTGTAGATTAGTACATAAAAAAGAATCTTACCTAAGAGAATAAAGTATTGTGTATGGGTCTAGGAGGTTTGTTGAAAGTAGAAAAGTAGAGGCAAAAGGATAATATAATCTTTGCCTTGTGCAGCGCCAACAAAACAAAAAAAACAGGTTAGATATAGAATATGAATGCACAACTAGTTTATTTGTATGTTGAGGCAGGCCTTAAACTTTTAGGTGGTTGTTCTACCTTTTGAAATCTACAGGAAGGACTGGCTTCACTCAAAGCACAGCTGAATGTTATTTATTTATGGAAGTGAATAGGGCTCATGCGCACATTTTGCCTATAACATTATCTCAGCCATAGACCATCATCATCATAAAGAGGGTTCAAAATACAGCCCTGCCCTTCATTAAAAATCCTTTTGGTCAAACTCCTGACCATAGAGGCAAAATAATTAGAAATATTAAAAAAGTGCTCAAAAGTCTAACTAAATAAATCGACCTGTGGTATGATGTCAAGTTTGCCCCTCTGGATGTTTTGACAGGCAGAGGATGCAGTCATGGATGCAGCCCAGTTAAAAGGTGGTTTAGCATGGATTTCAGTGGAATCAAGATTGCTTCCAGAGAGCTCCAAGGCTTTCCTTCTGAGTACCTCAAAAACGGATTGGAGAGGCAGAATTCCTGTGCAGACCCAACTGTTGCCTTGGGGCATACGAAAGGAGGCAGCCTCCTAAAAAAAAAAAAAAAAAAAAAAAAAAAAAAAA